TCACACTTATGACTATTGCAGCATCCCCACAGTCATGAGAGGCCAGGCAAGGAGATGCATGCCTCAATGTGAGTGATATTGAGTTGGCCATGCCCAGCCAATAACATGACCATCAAGCCACGCCCACCAACTAAGCCACATCCACAGAACCGGTTGTTAAAAAATTTGAATCCCACCCCTGACATGTAGCCATACATTTATTTGTGATGCTCTTATTCTGTAATCATGAAGTCCTGAAAGTTTTTATATTCTATTAGATTTTGTATGCTGTATATTGCTGCACTGTAATAACCCCAGAAAAAATCTCTCTATCAGTACTTATTTTTTAAACATGTGTAATTAAAAAAATAGACCTGAGTCAGAGGTGGTATTCAGCAGGTTCTGATCAGTTCTGGAGAACCGGTAGCGGAAATTTTGAGTAGTTTGGAGAACTGGCAAATACCACCTCTGACTGGAGATTTTACAGTATCCTTCCCCTGCCACACCCACCAAGCCATGCCCACAGAACCAGTAGTAAAAATATTTGAATCCCACCACTGACCTGACTAGATATTATAAATCTATATTTTCATTCCTGAGAATAAGACTTTTGAATTCACTAGAACTAACTTCCAAGTAAATAAAATGTATCAGTGTTCAAGCTTTTGTTGCGACAGTATTTTTATACTAGAGTTTTTTGAAGTTGGCACAGGGTTTGTCTGATAGATCGTAGCAACTGTAAATTATTGGTTCAGCTGTTACGTAGGCTGGGTTAAGTGGATAGTTGGTATAATAGAGAAGACAGGCTTTAATGTGTTGAGAAATTCCATAGCTCTAAGTAGTTTTGTATAAACTACAACTCAAAATCAAATCCATAGATTTGCAAACTTTGTGCTTGATAAATTATGTTTTAAAAAACAAAACATTTCAAGCAACTGGTATAAAGTGGGCATAATGTTTAGCAAAAAAGTATTTTTTAGTCCTGGGATTACTATCTGATTGCTGGATTTTGAACCAAAGGGACAAAATTTCTGCTAATGATAGATAGCCAGATTTCTTAAACCACATATTTTTATTAAGAAAATTGAAGGCTAATCAGAGGTCAAAATCAGTAATATAGTTTGTTCCATTTTCTTTTTGTGCTCTGTGTACCACACGAGGATTTACTTGAAATCCTAATTCTAATTTTCTAAGTTTCAATCTTGAAGACTTAATGCATAATGGCAGTAAGAGTTGTTTATCTTGCCTAATCTATCTTCCTAACTGTCAAAAGGTGTCTGATAATCCTGCCATTGTTGTTTATTTGCTAAGATTTCATTCCTCTTTGTCTGGCATGCTGTCATGATATGTGCCATCTTTGTCTACTCTGCAGAAACGTGATGCTCTTCACCTGCAGTGGGTTGGAAACCAACCAACCTTTTTTTCCTTTATATTATGCTTTATGACTTAGTATGATACATGAACTAAAACAACTAAAACCAAAACTAAATAAACTAAGTGGTAGTGCCACGTAGAGGAATGCGGTGGCTCAGTGGCTAAGATGCTGAGCTTGTCGATCAGAAAGGTCAGCAGTTCAGTGGTTTGAATCCCTAGCACCATGTAATGGAGTGAGCTCCTGTTACTTGTCCCAGCTTCTGTCAACCTAGCAGTTTGAAAGCATGTAAAAATGCAAGTAGAAAAATAGGGGCCACTTTGGTGGGCAGGTAACAGCATTTAGTCATGCCAGCCACATGACCACAGAGACATTTTTGGAAAACGCTGGCTCTTCGGCTTTGTAATGGAGATGAGCACTGCCCCCTAGAGACAGAAATAATTAGCACCTATGTATGAGGGTAAACCTTTACCTTTAGTGCCATGTATGAATCTATTCAGACAACAAACCTCCCTTTTCCACAGCTAGGATTATGTAAGCTGCATTACCTTATGAAAAGAATAACTGAAACAGGTTTGAAGAAAGGAAATCAGCAATTGAAGAAGGAAAGTGTTCAAGAGATGAACATGAGCTTTTGAATATTGGACACCATCTGTAGTCCAGGACTATTGTTAGAGACCCCACACACCCACTTTATGGTCTTTTTCTGTTGCTATCCTCTGGAAGGAGGTTTCAAAATATTTCTAGCAGGACTTCCAGATTCTGTAACAGCTTTGTTTCCTATGCCATCCGTCTGGTAAACTTGCAAGATTTATTTCTCTCGCCATGTACATGTACACATCCGAACTAGACCGTGTTGTTTCTCCATGTCATGTAATATATGTTGGTACATGCATAATTATGTGTTTATTTATTTATTTATCTATCTATCTTGTCATGTTTATGTTTATATTAGATGTGGAGACCCTTTGGGAGCTGTATGCAACATAATTTCATTTTAATGTATGCCGATTAGTGTACATTCAAAGTGAAAATAAAGTTATTCTAAGTTCTACTTTCCTGGGGATCTGCAGAGTAAGCAGATTTCTGCTGCTCATGCAAATCCAGGTTCTATCAAAAATCAGGACACATAAGTCAATCACAATATATCTTATTAATTTTTCTCAAGTAATATATTATTATAGTTACTAATGTTCAAAGGTCATGTGTCAAATCAGTAAGGAAGTGTTAACTGAGGTGGCTCCATTGTTACTGATATCTCTGCACCCATTATTTATCTTTTTAGCTGCCTTTTTATAATTTTTAAAATGTTTTTAATAATTGTTATTTGTGTACTGTTGTTTTTTTAACTTGGTTGTACTTCACCCAGTTACTTGTTTTTGTGAGATGGGTGACTATATAAATTTGAAAAAATAAATAAATAACAAAATAAATACAACAAATTGAAGCAGTTAATGTAATTTTTATAATAGTATGTAGGCCTGATATTGGTACAACCTATATATAGGAGAGGAATATCACCACTAATGAGAAATGATATTTCAGGACACTTAACATGTTTATGAATAGTTCTAGAACTCTTTCATTCTAGTCCCTAATAGCTTCCAGATACTGTTTCAAGACCTCCATAGAATTTGCAATTTAGCATAGAGGGATAATGTACCATTGAATACCATCAACATACTGCATTATTTCAACCCAAATCAACGGATGACTTATGCCAACAGAGTCATATCATGCACTGTGCCTTGCAACGTACCATCTACCGCCCTAGGCTTTATTGCTCTTCCCTGTGACTTTCATCTGGAACCTCCCATTTAGATAGGAGTTAAATCATTGAAAAATTGTAGTCTGTTCTTCCAAGTATCAAAGGCAGTCCTGGATCAATCAAAGGCAGAGATCTGGCGTATCCCATAGGTCAAATTAGGAGATATAGTAAATGGGTATTATATTTAACCCAAAAGGGTCTAATTAACTAAATGTACCACTGCATATACAGATACTCCAAAAGATATTCCATAGGTCAAATTAACTTAGAAAAAGGATGAAAACATATTTTCCCAGAAATAATATGCTATTATTTTTAATCTAAAAGGAGTACAATTAACCAAAGATACTATATAAAAAAATTCCAAAAGTTCCTAAGGAAGAGAATTTGCAGGAAGTGAAGATGTCCAAGATTTGATACTAGTCAAATAACAATCAAAAGAATCAGCTGCCCCATCTTTAACTGAAAATAGCATTTTTTTGTTTCAAATATATCATTTCAACTTGATTCAAACTTACAAAACTGGATACTAAATTTTTAATTTTTTTCTATAAATACACATTTTCATATATGCACATTTCATGCAAAATATAAAATATCATGGGAATTATACTCTTTATTATTGTTATATACCCCAAGGGATAAGGTTTAATGACTCTTATCTGTCAAAGCCAGAGAAATGACTTATATATCTTATTCACATTCAGTGTAATTATTTGAGAAATATATCTAAAATAATATTATACAAATACCTAAATAATTGATATATTCAGTACATATGCAAACATGATATTCGTTAATATGAATAAACAAGTCCTTATTGGCTCAAAACAACTAACATCTATTGTTATTTATTTTTAATTGATATATTAAATTTGGTAGTATACAAATTAATGAGCTATGTAACATTGGTATTGGTCAACTGAGACAAATTAATGTACATGATTTAATTTCAATAACTTCAATTAAGAAAACAAAGATGTTCACAAATGTAAAGTAGAACAGTGATGCTTTGTACATTCTTGCATATGACACATGATGCAACTATGGCTTGTATGGGGTGCAGGATTTACCTAGAGGGAAAGTGTAGGAGGCATTTAATCTTTGGATGGAGGATCAGAGCCAGAAGAGAAGTTCATTGAATAGAAATATAATTGGTTCTTAACATACAATCTAAAAAAAACTACATTCTGTCATTGTTAATGAACTACTTAGATATCTTGGCAGTACATGTACCTCAGCATTATCATTCTAGTTATTGTAATTATGCTATCTTGATATTATTATTAGCTGTTGTGTTTGTTACAGAGCTCAAGCACAGCAGCCAACCTTTAGCGCTGGATGTCATAAAATCAATGTTGGAAGTAATCAAAATAAGTTTATATCAGCATCATGTAAGCTTTCTTATATATGCTGTTTTCTCTAAGAAAGAATACCAATTTTGGGGGAAAAAACCTATTATTTACTAAAGGATTATAATTATATTTACAGCATTGAAAGCATCTTTCACTGCTATTAGAATCAATCAGTTCTCATTAACATAACAACCTATGTACACATTTTAAAAGAGACAGTATACCGTTTCAATTTTTTTAGAACAGATCACAGTATTTAAAACATAGTATGCTTAGAATTCAGATAATGATTTATTAAGATGCTAGTTATTCTCACCAGTACAATCTACAGAAAAGTGCAAAAGATATCAATTTTCCTGGAGTTCATAAAATATCAAAAATGAGCTTTTGATCTCATGTGCATGTTAAGTCACTACCACTGTGTGTGTGTGCTTGTATGCACAATCTTTATGCCTTTTATATAGTGAATGAATCAATGAAATTTGAAAAAATTGTGGGTAATATTTTCTTTTTTCTCTTGTCGCAGGACATATGTGAAGATATCTCTGACCATGTTGAACAAATCCATGCTCTTCTAGAGACTGAATTTTCCCTTAAACTTCTGTCTTACTCGGTCAATGTAATTGTTGACATCCACACAGTACAGTTTCTTTGGCATCAGCTTCGAGTTTCTGTCCTGGTTCTGAGAGAGAGGATTCTGCAGGGACTGCAAGATGCCAATGGAAATTATACAAGGCAAACTGATATTTTGCAAGCTTTTACAGAAGAAACAAAAGAGGTATGGCAAGTAAATATAAGAAATTCCTTTCTGAGTTCTAAATCCTAGAATTGTTTGCCCATTGAGGCCCTTATTAAAGCAAATAAATCAATTTGCAGCAGAATATGCTTGGTTTAGGCCAGCTGAGGTAACTCCAGTTTCATTCCGTTTTAGTAAAGCAAAATGGCATGATAGTTCTTCCTTCAGAGTGACTGATCCAGCTGAAATGAAATGTATTTTCTTTGAGGTGGCTGTTTCAGAGATAACTGTAGAGCTAAAAGCAAAAAGCTATTGTAACCTTAAGCTGTAAAGATAGCTAAGTGCATTGCTTATTCCCTATTATTAACACAGAGGTAGATACATCAATCATAATGATGCCCTTAATAGAAGCATACAGGTTCACATTAACGATACTGTTAAGGGAATGTATTAACCCACAAGTAATATTTTCCCCATGATTACACAAATATGCACACATTCATTATAGGCAAGATTTTCTTGAAACTTGAACAACCTCTGTCATAAATCTCATTTAAATTGTAATTTATTCAAAAGTGGAATATCTTTCACATACATTCTTGCATACCAGTCCTATGGATCGGCATTATTTTGGAGTATTTAGATTCTGCCCTATTTCACTGCCATAAACTTTTTTTCAACAAAAAAGCAAGATTTTGAGCCATTCCTAGGGACAGCTGAAAAATCATAACAATGTAAAGACAGCTGGAATCGGTAAGAATTCTATACATCTTGTCCTTTAATTTAAAATACTTTTATTCTTTCTGTCAGCGTATACACAATATCTCTTGCATACACAGGGCACAGTGCTCTTTTGAGGACTCACACAGACAGAGACAGAGACACAGACAGACAAACATCACACACTCGCTTTCTTTTTAGGCCATCTTACGTCAGTATGTTTTCAAAATAATGGTCCTACCAAGAGCATAGGGAAAAATATAAACATTATGATGACGGCTTGAAAAGGGATATAATAGACCTTGAAAAAATGCTGATGAGGTCAACCAAAATAATAACTCAATAATAATAATAACTCAAACATCTTCTCTATGAAAAAGGCTGTTCGGGTCTCTTTAACTTGGAAAAAAAAGTCAGTTCAAGAAGAACATAGATTGAGGTGTATAAAATAAGAAAGACTAAAGTTCTCTCTCTCTGGAAGCACTGGGGTGAAATGGTCCAAATGCTGATGGGGTGAAGATTTAAAAGAGATAAAAGGATCTTCACATAAAGCACAATCAATCTGCAAAATTAATTGCCCCTTGTATGATGATAGCTGTTAACTTGGATATGTGTACAAAGGTCAGATTTATCTAAGGCTATTTGATGTGAAGACTTTATACTTCCAACAGATTGGAAGGAGTATGCAGGGGAACAACTGCAGAAGACAGGTATCTCATTTTTCTGCTAGTAAGCACCCAGTTTCATTTAGTTGGCCATTATGAGAAACAATACAGGGTGAAGGTGGACCATAGTCTAACATACTATAGCTTCTTATGTTCTTAATTCTCAGGATTATATATGAACTGATGAGGTGTTCCTTTCTTGAGTGCACAATGCTTATCTAATTGATCACTACAAATTACAAACAATCCTATTTAAATGGACATTGCCATCAAAGCGTGACAGTGCATGACAGTGCATGGCAGTATAACAGTTTCTTAAAATATTGAGCATTGCTGTAGAAACTCTTGGAAATTAATTCACTAAATATAACGTGTTTCACTTTTTCCTGCTCTGGCTCTGACAGACCAATATTCTACAGAGACTGTAAAATGACAGTGGAACTAATGCCAGTGCTTCATGATGGCTTCATAGTGGGTCATCTTCATGTTACCTTCTGTCAATTAATTGAAGAGATAAACATGGGCAGAACCATCTAATACTCCATAAACCTGTAGCAAAAGATTTAGACTTTCTCATAGTATGGAATAGAAGGATCTTCTAATTGAACAGCATTAAGTCCTTTATTAACTTCGAAGTTGATTTCTGAACAGAATACTGAATTTAATCTGAATTCAAATTCAGGCAAAAACTCATTTCTATATGTGTTAGATGCTTCATTTATTCACAGCAACTGAGACCCTGCTATTTAGAAATAAAATACAAATTGTCAGCTTGGAGGATCTGATAAATTTTGCCTTTACAAACTCTCACTTGATTTAAGTCAGAGGTGGTATTCAGCAGATTCTGACCAGTTCTGGAGAACCGGTAGCAGAAATTTTGAGTAGTTCAGAGAACCGGCAAATACCGCCTCTGGCTGGCTCTGCCCCCATCTATTCTCTCCCTCCCGAGTCCCAGTTGATTGACTGGGTCTTCTTTGGTTGCCCTGCACAGGAAAACGGAGCTGGAAAGCAGGTTAGTGGGATGGGGGAAAGAATGGGATTTTGCAGTAACTTTCCTCTGCCATGCCCACCAAGCCACACCCACAGAACTGGTAGTAAAACAATTTGAATCCCACCACTGATTTAAGTTAGACATTTATACATAAATGTATACATAAATTTACAAAGAATTGATCAGAACTGTTGGTTTGGTTCTTTTTCTTCCTACCAGCTACAATTTAAATAACGGAAGCTTGATAAAGATGATATAAATATAAATCACTTCACAGTTTTTTCAGAAGCAGATTAGAAGAGAGTGGTTGGTTCTGAAACTGAGTCCATTCCTCTCCCACCTGCATTTCCTGTTGGAATCTGCCTTTGATCCACCATTTCTTTAGATCTAATTTTGATTGAAATTCCAAATCATGGTTGTATAAATAAATGAGTTCTATAATCATAGTTTCAGAGGAAGAAATCTAGATTTACATTATCTAATGAATGACTACATGACTAAAATTCCAAAGCTCTTCCCCAAACACTATTAGATATGAATGTTTATTTTTATGCATTAAAGAAATTTATCAGTACTTTTCACCTTATCCCCAAATGTTAAAATGTATGCTGTTGACTTTTAAGATCTTGCATTGCATTCCTGAGGGTACAACTCCTTTTTTCCTGATTGTCTTGGGAGCAGTAAATGTTGCATTTAGAGACACGCTGTAAATATGAATTCCAGTAGTCAGTGGAATTAATTAAAAATGGCCTTGTATTGCACCTATCGCTCTTATTCTAACCCTAACCCTAACATGATCTCAAACATATTCATTTTTAATATTGAGGGTCTGTTATACCACCTCCCTTCAGCCAATGTTTCAGTCTGTTTTGTCAATAGCTATTTCAGCCAACCATTCTTTATTCCTTTTG